CCATAGGACCGTTATTACAGCACTCCCAACAGATCCATAGGACTGTGATTACAGCACTCCCAACCGATCCATAGGACTGTGATTACAGCACTCCCAACCGATCCATAGGACTGTGATTACAGCATTCCCAACAGATCCATAGGACTGGGATTACACACTCCCAACAGATCCATAGGACTGTGATTACAGCACTCCCAACAGATCCATAGGACTGTGATTACAGCACTTCCAACAGATCCATAGGACTGTGATTACAGCACTCCCAACCGATCCATAGGACTGTGATTACAGCATTCCCAACAGATCCATAGGACTGGGATTACACACTCCCAACAGATCCATAGGACTGTGATTACAGCACTCCCAACAGATTCATAGGACTGTGATTACAGCACTCCCAACAGATCCATAGGACTGTGATTACAGCACTCCCAACAGATCCATAGGACTGTGATTACAGCACTTCCAACAGATCCATAGGACTGTGATTACAGCACTCCCAACAGATCCATAGGACTGTGATTACAGCACTCCCAACAGATCCATAGGACCTTGATTACAGCACTCCCAACAGATCCATAGGACTGTGATTACAACACTCCCAACAGATCCATAGGACTGTGATTACAGCACTCCCAACAGATCCATAGGACTGTGATTACAGCACTTCCAACAGATCCATAGGACTGTGATTACAGCACTCCCAACAGATCCATAGGACTGTGATACAGCACTCCCAACAGATCATAGGACTGTGATTACAGCACTCCCAACAGATCCATAGGACCTTGATTACAGCACTCCCAACAGATCCATAGGACTGTGATTACAACACTCCCAACAGATCCATAGGACTGTGATTACAGCACTCCCAACAGATCCATAGGACTGTGATTACAACACTCCCAACAGAACCATAGGACTGTGATTACAGCACTCCCAACAGATCCATAGGACTGTGATTACAGCACTCCCAACTGATCAATAGGACTGTGATTACAGCACTCCCAACTGATCCATAGGACTGTGATTACAGCACTCCCAACTGATCCATAGGACTGTGATTACAGCACTCCCAACAGATCCATAGGACTGTGATTACAGCACTCCCAACAGATCCATAGGACTGTGATTACAGCACTCCCAACAGATCCATGGGTGCTCTGATCTCCTCCTCCACTGCCCCACAAGAGTAAAAGACTGATTACATCATTGTTATGTTGCTGGGGATGAGTGACACGTCTTGTGTCTTTAGTGAAATGTTCCTGTCAATCTGATCCAGGCTGCTTATTCCCATTCAGCAGTCTGGACAGCAGGGCTGCTTATACTCGGGTAATTCCCCCCCCCCCACCCACCCCACTCCCAAGATCAGGGTTTTCAAATGGCCTCTTGGGTTCCTATTTTGAAATCTTGCGTTAAAAAATATATCCTTATATAAAAGTGGGTAAATGTTTTGTTTCGTAAATATATAATTTTGACTTTTTATTAATCTTGGGGTTTTGTTTTTTGTTCTTCGCTTAGTATTGCTTGGGTTTTTGGTCATCTTGGTTGGGTTTTGAAAAGAAATTACAATGGCAGCTGTGATGGACAGCAACAGCGATTCTTGCTTGTTGTAGTCGCTGTGTAAATTTTGTGTGACATAAAGTTTCAGTTGTCACAAATATAAAAGAAGTGTGTTCGTTCACCTCATGAAAAAGGGTCAAATGGCAGTGCCAATGGCGGGTAGCTGATCGGGCCACTCTACAACCGGATACCTGTGTCACCAGGAGGGCCAAAGGGGCCAACTGCAAATTAAGTGGAGATAAGGCAATAGTTTCGACTGCAAATCAAGTGGAAATAAATCAATGGTTTCGAACAAGACACCCGGTGAAGCTTCTCTAACCTCAAGAATGTTTGATGCAAGGCTTGAGATCTTTAGTAACAAAGTACAGTTGACTGCGTTGTTTAATGGAAATACACCTGCACGCCTTATCCGAGACACAGCTGTTGTTATTTTTACATCAGACAAATGCGAGTGCATACTTTATTATGAGAAACATACGTTTATATGCCTCGCAATAATAGCAATCAGTTGCAACTATCAACATGTTGCAACTTTTTCTCGATATTATCATCAATAGTTGCAACTTTTTCTCGATATTATCGTCAGCAGTTGCAACTTTTTCTCGACATTATCATTCACAGTTGCAACTTTTTCTCGATATTATCATCAACAGTTGCAACCTTGTCTCGATAGTATCATCAACAGTTGCAACCTTTTCTCGATTTTATCATCAGGCAGCAGATGTTTACAGAACGTGATCCCCGTCACAGCGCGCGTGAAAGTCTCTCTTTCTCTAGTCACTTTTCCAGCCCCATGTGCTTTCAAAAGCAATGCATCTTTAATGTCATGTATCGAGACTCGTGGAGGTCTGCATCTGCCTCTTTTTCCGAAAGCTGTAACTTCCATCACTACCTTTGAGCCAGCATGACGTTTGTTAAACATGGCCGAAAAAGCTCAGCCTTCAGGACAGGATGCTGACTATGAAGGATGCCAGTGTTGCTTCCTCTTCTTGGTCCATGGTATTCTAAGACTGTTTCTGTAGCGTTTCATTTCTAAAGCTTCGATTTGTTTTCTTCAGTGGCTAAGTAAGAGTCCTCAACTTATCTGCACAAGTTACCACGGGAGAGATATATGATCTCAAAAGTCTTACTTCGGCTCTCTTGCAGGTACTGTGTCATAGACTCTTTATGCTGTCTAGTCTCTGCGTTGCTACAGCGAGTCTTCTTCTCATTTCCTTTGTGCAGTCGTCATTGTTGTTAACTACAGAGCATAAATATTCAAATTCCTTGACATTTCCGATCTCTTCATTATCGATTGTAATGTGTGGTTTGTGTGCTGTGGTTTGTGTGCTGTGGTTTGTGTGCTGTGGTTTGTGTGCTGTGGATTGTGTGCTGTCGTTTGTGTACTGTCGTTTGTGTGCTGTGGTTTGTGTGCTGTGGTTTGTGTGCTGTGGTTTGTGTGCTGTGGTTTGTGTGCTGTGTGGTGTGTGTGTTTGCTGTGTGTTTGTGTGTGCTGTGGTTTGTGTGCTGTGGTTTGTGTGCTGTGTTTTGTGTGTGCTGTGTGTTGTGGTTTGTGTGCTGGGTTTGTGTGCTGTGGTTTGTGTGCTGTGGTTTGTGTGCTGTGGTTTGTGTGCTGTGGTTTGTGTGCTGTGGTTTGTGTGCTGTGGTTTGTGTGCTGTGGTTTGTGTGCTGTGGTTTGTGTGCTGTGGTTTGTGTGCTGTGGTTTGTGTGCTGTGGTTTGTGTGCTGTGGTTTGTGTGCTGTGGTTTGTGCTGTGGTTTGTGCTGTGGCTGTCGTGTGTGCTTGCTGTCGTCGTTTTGTGTGCTGTGCTGTGGTTTGTGTGTGTGCCTGTCGTTTGTGTGCTGTCGTTTGTGTGCTGTGGTTTGTGTGCTGTCGTTTGTGTGTGGTTTGTGTGCGTTTTGTGTGCTGTGGTTTGTGTGCTGTGGTTTGTGTGCTGTGGTTTGTGTGCTGTGGTTTGTGTGCTGTGGTTTGTGTGCTGTGGTTTGTGTGCTGTTGTTTGTGTGCTGTCGTTTGTGTGCTGTGGTTTGTGTGCTGTGGTTTGTGTGCTGTGGTTTGTGTGCTGTGGTTTGTGTGCTGTGGTTTGTGTGCTGTGGTTTGTGTGCTGTGGTTGGTTGTGTGTGTGCTGGTTTGTGTGCTTGTGTGTGCTGTCGTTTGTGTGCTTTGTGTGCTGTTTTGTGTGCTGTCGTTTGTGTGCTGTCGTTTGTGTTGTGTGTGTGCTGTGTGTGTGCTGTGGTTTGTGTGCTGTGGTTTGTGTGCTGTGGTTTGTGTGTGGGTTTGTGTGCTGTGGTTTGTGTGCTGTGGTTTGTGTGCTGTGGTTTGTGTGCTGTGTCGTTTGTGTGCTGTGTGTTTTGTGTGCTGTGGTTTGTGTGCTGTGCTGTGGTTGTGCTGTGGTTTGTGTGCTGTTGTGTGCTGTGGTTTGTGCTGTGGTTTGTGTGTGTGTTTGTGTTGTGGTTTGTGTGCTGTCGTTTGTGTGCTGTGGTTTGTGTGTGTGGTTTGTGTGCTGTGGTTTGTGTGTGCTGTGGTTTGTGTGCTGTAGTTTGTGTGCTGTGGTTTGTGTGCTGTCGTTTGTCTGCTGTCGTTTGTCTGCTGTCATTTGTCTGCTGTCGTTTGTGTGCTGTGGTTTGTGTGCTGTGGTTGTGCTGTGGTGTGCTGTTTTGTGTGCTGTGGTTTGTGTGCTGTTTGTGCTGTCGTTTGTGGTGCTGTGGTTTGTGCTGTGGTTTGTGTGTTTTAATGTGTGCTGTGGTTTGTTGCTGTGTGCTGTCGTTTGTGTGCTGTCATTTGGTGCTGTCGTTTGTGGGCTTGTGTGCTGTCGTTTGTGTGCTGTGGTTTGTGTGCTGTGGTTTGTGTGCTGTGGTTTGTGTGCTGTGGTTTGTGTGCTGTGGTTTGTGTGCTGTGGTTTGTGTGCTGTCGTTTGTGTGCTGTCGTTTGTGTGCTGTCGTTTGTGTGCTGTGGTCGTTGTGGACAATACTTTGGTTTATGTCTTTCAAATTTAGAAAAAAACTTTTGTTTTCTTCACTGTCCTACTTGACTGTCAGAATTAATGCTTCTACGTCTTTTGCAATGCTGGAAACGAGAACTGTCTTGTTTGCATATTCGAGTTCTGGGAAAAGTTTATCTTCAATTGTGAGTGGATCAAAACGTCACGTGTCTCACCATTACCTGTATTTCTTACAATATGGTCGAGCGACAAAAGCTTCCATGACAGCGCTAACAGTAACATGTCTGCCATCAACTCCACTGCTTGTACTTGACAGTTCGTAGTCAGCATGTCATGTCGTTGTATGCAATGTTGTGCGTATTTTGTTTCCTGCGGTTGTGTTACTGACGAAGGCTAATCACCACAGCGACCTTTGTTTGTCTTATGTGATGTGCCCTGTAAAACCAGCGTCAACTTTTGCATTTTTCTTTCAATTGCAGGTGCACTAAAAGACAGACAAGATGTCGCTGACACTTCGGTATGTCATCCTTCTTGCAGTAACAGCCGTGTCGGGACAAGACGACGTTATCATGTCTTTGAGTTACGAGGGAAGCAATGATTATGTTATCGATTTCAAGTTTACTTCTAACGTTTTCAAATCGTGAGTGGGCTTTATGTAGACGTTTCATTGTGATTGTTTGTAGCATATATATTTGTTATGTAACATTCAGCAGGTGTGTTCGCTTGAAGACATAGAACCTGGTGGTGAATGGCTAACATTACTAACAGGTGTGTTCGCTTGAAGACATAGAACCTGGTGGTGAATGGGTAACATTACCAACAGGTGTGTTCGCTTGAAGACTCAGAACCTGGTGGTGAATGGGTAACATTACCAACAGGTGTATTCTCTTGAAGACATAGAACCTGGTGGTGAATGGTTACCATTACCAACAGGTGTGTTCGCTTAAATACATAGAACCTAGTGGTGAATAGGTAACATTACCAACAGGTGTGTTCTCTTGAAGACATAGAACCTGGTGGTGAATGGCTAACATTACTAACAGGTGTGTTCGCTTGAAGACATAGAACCTGGTGGTGAATGGGTAACATTACCAACAGGTGTGTTCGCTTGAAGACTCAGAACCTGGTGGTGAATGGGTAACATTACTAACAGGTGTATTCTCTTGAAGACATAGAACCTGGTGGTGAATGGGTAGCATTACCAATAGACTATTCTATTTCTGCAGGAGTGTAGGCTTTGATTTTTGAGAATTCTCTACAGGGGAATGCTGTTGCTTACACATATGGGTCTGTAATTCGTCATGTAAGAAGCTCTTTGGCCTTTACGGTTTATTTTGGAGAGAATTGTGCAGCAAGATCCTGGTGCTGTTGTCTCGACCACAAGAAATCTAACTATGGGGGTCATGGCAGTAATCAAAGCAAAAATATGACTGAGGACTTTGACTTTTTCCTGCGCATGTTTTTTGTGTGACTCAGTGAGTATGCTCATGAAAATAGAAGGTGGTGTGAGTCTCTGAAGCGGTCACGGCTAACACATATCAGGTTCTTTTTGTGCCAGGGCACGCCGGCGTGCAAGAAAAGGAACAAGCTGATCGGCTTGCAGGGAAAGCTACTGTGGATGGCTGACGAGTCATGGATCAGACAGCTATTCTGAATGCATTACAAGAAGTAATTGTGAATTTATAACCAAGACCAGACTGCAAGAACAACATGTTAAAAGGAGTGTGGTCAGACAAGAGCACCAAACAGGAAGCCAAAGAAGAAGAAGGAAACACATAACTAGTGTCGTCAGTCGCTCGCTACACGCTCCGGGATTTTCTGAGGAGCTGATCAGAGCACGTATGGACTGAATGGTTCGATATACAATAAGGATAATCTGTCGACCAACTAACTAACTAATTAACTAGCTAACCAACCAACCACCCAACGATTGAACGAACCAACCAACCAACCAACGAACTAACTTACTAGTAACGTATCATTTCTGCATCATTTGAAAGGGAAGAGCTCCATTGCCTAGTCACCAAGAGGGTTATCTACGCCCAGAATGTCGCTGATTCAATACTTACCTGCATCATTCGGTTCTTAGGTGTAGTTTTCATTTCCTCAAAGACCCGCAGGTAATGACACTGGATATACGTAATGTGTACTTTGTGTGACTCGCTGGGCAAACTACCATTCTTTTCGCCAAGTCTACAGGTGGGGAGAAAAAAAAGCAGCAGCAATAGAAGAAGAAGAAAAAGAAGAAGAAGAAGAAGAAGAAGAAGAAGAAGAAGAAGAAGAAGAAGAAGAAGAGAAGAAGAAGAAGAAAAGAAGAAGAAAAAGAAGAAGAAAAAAAAAAGAAGAAGAAGAAGAAGAAGAAGAAGAAGAAGAAGAAGAAGAAGAAGAAGAAGAAGAAGAAGAAGAAGAAGAAGAAGAAGAAGCAGAAGAAGAAGGCTCAGGGGAAAAGGAGTTTGATCAGAAGCAGGAAAAAAAGGAGTCGGAGCTTAATAATGATGATGATGATGATGATGATGACAATGGTGGTGATGATGATGATGATAACAGAAATAATAATTAATTAAACCAATAAATTAATCTTTATCATAATTTAGATAATATTTTTACCGTTCTGAATATAGTACACATACTTTCTTTCCTGCAGGTTATACCAGTGTCTTTGTACAGACAACTCCTTGAAATGTAACATAGAGTACGACTACAACCATGTCATGCAAGGCGTTAATTCAGAGATCACAAAAACTACATACCCACCTCCTTGTAAACTGTACACGTGTACAAATTCTCGACAGTTTCCTCGTGTGACCTGCGTCACCCTGCAGCAGACAGACTCTTGTACCAGACAGGTCAAACCTACTTTTGTAGGCATTGATCTGGCCAGTTCTTGTGCTACGTCTTGTGTCGGCATTGTCTGGAGTTTGAGCAAGGAAGGCATTCGTTTCAACGACAAACAACTGCGAGTTCGGCAATGCGGGGACCAATGCTGTCCTGGTCCAGCGTCAGAGAAACCACCACAACCACAGAATGAGTCGTCATCGGATCATCTTGTCATCTCTGAAACTTTCAGCGAAAGAGAATACAGAGATACGTATATTGTCGCAGGTATTGCTGCAGGGGTCGTTCTAATAGCTATACTAGTGTTCGTGATATTTGTTTTTCTGAAGCCTAGATCCACGTCCTATAATGGGCAAAGAGAAGCCGCCAACACACCACAAAGCTCCACAAACGAAACAAATCACAGTTTCTATCACAACACGGCAACTATAAACGACGTATCAACACATACAACTGATACGGGTAAAGCAACAAGTAACACATTTCAACCATTAAGTCCTTTTGCAGGATTGCAAATTTCTAAGCAAATCTTAGGACACGAGAATAACGGAAGTGAGGATTTTTGGAACAGTCTTGCACTCAACAGAAACACAAATACAGCTGCAGGAAGTGAAAGTGTATTTGAAAAAAAGCCAAACAAACAAGTAGGATTTAGTGATGCAATTTCTGAAGATAACGCCGAAGAACATAACTTTGAAGCGGACTATGCCGAAATTGATGATTACAGTATTCAAGATTGCAGTCCAGTGGAGTACATACCAGACTGCTCTGATATAGACTTAAATGATGGCTATAGCACTGTGGAGAATTCTGATTACTACAATATTCAGGATAATACACCGGGTTCTGCTGATGGTAAGTCCAGTGACTCTAGAGAAGATTCTGCAGATTTCTCCACTCCAAGGGCAGGCTCTCTCAGCACTGATGGTAAAACAGGGATGCAAACAACTGGTCACCAAACATCACATGTTCTTGGACAAAACCAAAATGTATCAGAATATTTCGTAGCAAGACCAATAAGTAGTGAGGTACCTACATACAGCGTGGGTCAACAGATTGATGGGACATCACGTGATCCCGGGATCTCATTTGAACAAGAGCAAGACAACTCAAACACAGACACCGCTGAGAAGAAAAGAACCTCCTATTTTATACTAGAGAAAGATACAGAGGAAGAAGACATTTAAAGAGCAGTTTTTTTCTTCTAAAATTATCTACAGTCCCTGTATTTACCCACCCATCTACCCAAAAACCCATCCACCTTTTCATTCATTTATTCACATACGCATCGATCCATCTAATAACGAACTGTCCCATCATTCATTTTCTCCATAAAAACGTATTACAGAAGACTAAATGATATCCGATTCACGTCTTTTTTCTTTGAAACACAAGAAAGAAGAAGGTGCCAGTACTCACCACACATTATGAATTTCATGAACACTGATTTGAATTTTAAAAAATATATTATTCTGTGGATCCGAACCCTAACTGAACAGTTACTCAGTATCTTTCGGGTGCCTTTTAACAACTGTGTTATGCGGTTGAACAGGGCTCTGAGATTTTATTATGTTTGATTTATATCAAAATCGTGGCTCTCTGAGTCACCTGGTGTTAATCTTTCACAATGCAATTTTAGAGAGTAATCAAAGAAATTTCCGTGAAAACATGATCGAAGTATCAACAACAACAAAATTGCAGGATTCAACTAATGTCTCCAGTCCACTATAATATACCGGAGAAATGATACAGCGGATATGCTTACTAAGATTTGAAGATATATTAAACACATGTTATCATAATAATAGGAAGAAGAAGAACTCCACAGGGGAACGTGTACAGCAAGATTCGCTCGTCGACGATTGTTTCGACCTGTTACCATCCCTATAATGTCTCGGAGGGTGGGCCGACCTGAGTCATGACTCCCAGGATTCTACCTTCCCGTGCTGCACTTTACTGGATGTTCTTGGACAGGACCAGACGATATGGTTATTTGTAACAGGTGTTGTGAAAATTATTGATATTGTCGCTGTGGTAGCTATAAGAAGAAACTCCAGAGGGGAGCATGTACAGCAGGAGTCTACCAATCATCAGTAGAAGTGATCCCTCGTCCACAAATGTTTCGGCCCACGAACTCCTGGACAATCTCAGAGGGTTGGCCCACCTGAGTTCATGAAGCTCAGGCTTGATCTGCTCCTGCTGCACGTATTACCGGATGTTCTCGGACAGGGACAAGACGAAATTGGTGACCATGCAACAGGCACAGTGAGATTCGAAGTTTATTTACATAGTCACTGCGGTAGCATATTAGAGCAGTCCTTATACCTGGACGACCAAGTGGCAAGCTTATCGGACACATGTTAGACTTTGTTGGCAAATAGCAGAGGGATACCGGCAGACAATTCGGACACGATGGTCTTTAAAGGGATAAGACTTTCTTTTCCACTACATACCCGGACCAGCTTACCGAGGCCTGTCCCCTACGACGTTCCGTTGTGTCCAAAGCCAGCTCGAGGCCCTCTCAACTGCCTCGCCCCGGTTTCTTAGTGATCGTTTGCGCTCTTTCCTCACAAGCACAGCTACATTATCACATTGTAAATGGAACGAACGAACGAACGAACGAACAAACTTTATTTTCAAAGGGTTACAAATTGGGCACGCAGGCCCGTCTGACATTCGGCCCTTCTAAGTACTCATTTTTCAGAGTACTAATACCTGTTATCAATAATGCATGTTATGGATTTAAAAAGAAATATATAATGTATTCACACATCGTGTGTACGCCATCATACACACTCACACACACGTATACATACATCTACATTTTCATACTGGTGAACTCATATACAGACATACGTGATACATACACATCTACATCTACATACATATACAAGCATACACATACACAGAAATAAATGCACAAACAGAAAACACACACACATGCATTTATGGATATACATGCACACACGCATTCCATATATACACATCTATACATGCACCCATGCATACACACATATACCATTACATGTACAGACACCAACATATGCCCAAAACCACACATTTACACTTACATGAATACATACACCCACACACATGCATACATATATCCACACATTTATACCTAAACTCACATCTTTACACACATACATACATACCTAAATATACTTTCATATATCCACATGCATA